TTTTAACTGAGATTCAGTAGTACACCTCCTAAGTTTAGGAGGGGTGTAGGAGTAACATAGGATTTCTGGGAAAGAAGTGGCCAAGTATGACAAAACTGCTCTTGCTGTCCCGCCCTGACAATACCGCTGCTGAGATTCACTTTTATTAAACTCACTTTCTGTTAGAATGTTACACACTCAGAGCTTTATTTCCCCTGGAAAAAAATGGTGCAGGTAATCAACACAAAGTATTTTTTTTTTAAAAGTGGAAGCACTCACAGAGCATCTTAAAGAAAGTGCCAGCATTCACCACAAAATTGTCTATTATATGAACTGTGGAACAGATGCTGGGACTATCTAGCACTGGATACTGCCAGTAACAAAGTCCTGATTACACTCACATCTCATTGTAGCGATGAAAGGGGGGGAGGGGGCCTTAAAACAAAACAGACGCTGGGACTATCTAGCACTGGATACTGCCAGTAACAAAGTCTTGATTACACTCACATCTCATTGTAGCGATGAAAGGGGGGAGGGGGCCTTAAAACAAAACAGATGCTGGGACTATCTAGCACTGGATACTGCCAGTAACAAAACCCTGATTACACTCACATCTCATTGTAGCGATGAAAGGGTGGGAGGGGGCCTTAAAACAAAACAGACGCTGGGACTATCTAGCACTGGATACTGCCAGTAACAAAGTCTTGATTACACTCACATCTCATTGTAGCGATGAAAGGGGGGAGGGGGCCTTAAAACAAAACAGATGCTGGGACTATCTAGCACTGGATACTGCCAGTAACAAAACCCTGATTACACTCACATCTCATTGTAGCGATGAAAGGGTGGGAGGGGGCCTTAAAACAAAACAGACGCTGGGACTATCTAGCACTGGATACTGCCAGTAACAAAGTCCTGATTACACTCACATCTCATTGTAGCGATGAAAGGGGGGGGGGGGGCCTTAAAACACACAGACGCTGGGACTATCTAGCACTGGATACTGCCAGTAACAAAGTCCTGATTACACTCACATCTCATTGTAGCGATGAAAGGGGGGAGGGGGGCCTTAAAACAAAACAGATGCTGGGACTATCTAGCACTGGATACTGCCAGTAACAAAACCCTGATTACACTCACATCTCATTGTAGCGATGAAAGGGTGGGAGGGGGCCTTAAAACAAAACAGACGCTGGGACTATCTAGCACTGGATACTGCCAGTAACAAAGTCCTGATTACACTCACATCTCATTGTAGCGATGAAAGGGGGGGGGGGGGGGGGGCCTTAAAACACACAGACGCTGGGACTATCTAGCACTGGATACTGCCAGTAACAAAGTCTTGATTACACTCACATCTCATTGTAGCGATGAAAGGGGGGGGGGGGGGGGGCCTTAAAACACACAGACGCTGGGACTATCTAGCACTGGATACTGCCAGTAACAAAGTCTTGATTACACTCACATCTCATTGTAGCGATGAAAGGGTGGGAGGGGGCCTTAAAACAAAACAGATGCTGGGACTATCTAGCACTGGATACTGCCAGTAACAAAGTCTTGATTACACTCACATCTCATTGTAGCGATGAAAGGGAGGGGGGGGCCTTAAAACAAAACAGACGCTGGGACTATCTAGCACTGGATACTGCCAGTAACAAAGTCTTGATTACACTCACATCTCATTGTAGCGATGAAAGGGGGGAGGGGGGGGCCTTAAAACAAAACAGACGCTGGGACTATCTAGCACTGGATACTGCCAGTAACAAAGTCTTGATTACACTCACATCTCATTGTAGCGATGAAAGGGTGGGAGGGGGCCTTAAAACAAAACAGACGCTGGGACTATCTAGCACTGGATACTGCCAGTAACAAAGTCTTGATTACACTCACATCTCATTGTAGCGATGAAAGGGGGGAGGGGAGGGGGCCTTAAAACAAAACAGACGCTGGGACTATCTAGCACTGGATACTGCCAGTAACAAAGTCTTGATTACACTCACATCTCATTGTAGCGATGAAAGGGTGGGAGGGGGCCTTAAAACAAAACAGACGCTGGGACTATCTAGCACTGGATACTGCCAGTAACAAAACCCTGATTACACTCACATCTCATTGTAGCGATGAAAGGGTGGGAGGGGGCCTTAAAACAAAACAGACGCTGGGACTATCTAGCACTGGATACTGCCAGTAACAAAGTCTTGATTACACTCACATCTCATTGTAGCGATGAAAGGGGGGAGGGGGCCTTAAAACAAAACAGACTCTGGGACTATCTAGCACTGGATACTGCCAGTAACAAAACCCTGATTACACTCACATCTCATTGTAGCGATGAAAGGGTGGGAGGGGGCCTTAAAACAAAACAGACGCTGGGACTATCTAGCACTGGATACTGCCAGTAACAAAGTCTTGATTACACTCACATCTCATTGTAGCGATGAAAGGGTGGGGGGGGGGCCTTAAAACAAAACAGACGCTGGGACTATCTAGCACTGGATACTGCCAGTAACAAAGTCCTGATTACACTCACATCTCATTGTAGCGATGAAAGGGTGGGAGGGGGCCTTAAAACAAAACAGACGCTGGGACTATCTAGCACTGGATACTGCCAGTAACAAAACCCTGATTACACTCACATCTCATTGTAGCGATGAAAGGGGGGGGGGGGGCCTTAAAACAAAACAGACGCTGGGACTATCTACCACTGGATACTGCCAGTAACAAAACCCTGATTACACTCACATCTCATTGTAGCGATGAAAGGGGGGAGGGGGCCTTAAAACAAAACAGACGCTGGGACTATCTACCACTGGATACTGCCAGTAACAAAACCCTGATTACACTCACATCTCATTGTAGCGATGAAAGGGGGGGAGGGGGCCTTAAAACAAAACAGACGCTGGGACTATCTAGCACTGGATACTGCCAGTAACAAAGTCTTGATTACACTCACATCTCATTGTAGCGATGAAAGGGGGGGAGGGGGCCTTAAAACAAAACAGACGCTGGGACTATCTAGCACTGGATACTGCCAGTAACAAAGTCTTGATTACACTCACATCTCATTGTAGCGATGAAAGGGGGGGAGGGGGCCTTAAAACAAAACAGACGCTGGGACTATCTAGCACTGGATACTGCCAGTAACAAAGTCTTGATTACACTCACATCTCATTGTAGCGATGAAAGGGTGGGAGGGGGCCTTAAAACAAAACAGACGCTGGGACTATCTAGCACTGGATACTGCCAGTAACAAAGTCTTGATTACACTCACATCTCATTGTAGCGATGAAAGGGGGGGAGGGGGCCTTAAAACAAAACAGACGCTGGGACTATCTAGCACTGGATACTGCCAGTAACAAAGTCTTGATTACACTCACATCTCATTGTAGCGATGAAAGGGTGGGAGGGGGCCTTAAAACAAAACAGACGCTGGGACTATCTAGCACTGGATACTGCCAGTAACAAAGTCTTGATTACACTCACATCTCATTGTAGCGATGAAAGGGGGGGGGGGCCTTAAAACAAAACAGACTCTGGGACTATCTAGCACTGGATACTGCCAGTAACAAAACCCTGATTACACTCACATCTCATTGTAGCGATGAAAGGGTGGGAGGGGGCCTTAAAACACACAGACGCTGGGACTATCTAGCACTGGATAACAAAGTCCTGATTACACTCACATCTCATTTTAGCGATGAAAGGGTGGACACATCCATCTGAAATCGTTAACTGTCCATAGTTATCGGAATGAAATCTGTAGTGGGTGATATTATGAATTACATTACAAGAAGAGGAATAATACTTTTAATGAAGCACAGCATTTAATGCGACGATGTAAAATATCTTTACACTGTAAATATGTAAATAATACTGTAAATAATTTTCTTATTTAAAATTCAACCCAACTAAGAGCATTAATTTTAAACTTTAAAGTACAAAATTAGCTGTTCCAGATTTTGTTAGTTGCTTCCAGTAACTGTTAATCGAAAGGGGTATGGGAGGGGTGTCAATAAAACCGAGCTTTGAGTGTACACAGAACAGTGATTTCAATCATGTGAATTTCCTGTCTGGGTTCCTGGATCCCATTGTGGTGAAAACAAGAATAGACCCACTGCCTCCCCAACAAGCATGTTGTAGGAGTCGACTAACTGGGTGCTTCCATCAAAGTCGGAGTGCATCTGCCTGAGCGTCAAGGAACAACCAACTGCATACAAATAAGCCACTAAAACGGATGTACATGCAAAACTAAGGCCCTGGCACAAAGCCCAAGTGACAAACAACCAGGACTTTTCCCCAGAGCTTATGAGCAAAAAATAATTATGTGAATGGATAAATTACCAAGGATGAAGAATGTGAAAAGGGTAATCTTTTTTGAACAAAAACACAGAAAGAGGATAAAATTATGTTGTCTAGTGTGCCTTCCTATCTCTATTTTTATGAGTGGCAAGTAGTAATTGCAAAAAATATATATCTGCTACCTCATACTATCTCAATACTTGTAAGCTGATTTATCAGCTACTTTATACTATCTCAATACATGTAAAGTGATTTATCTGCTACTTTTTTCTATCTCAATACATGTAAAGTGATTTATCTGTTACTTTATACTATCTCAATACTTGTAAACTTATTTATTTGCTACTTTATACTATTTCAATACTTGTAGCTGATTTATCTACTACTTTATACTATCTCAGCGGCGTCCTTGGCTTAGGCGTTGTGAGTCCGACTCATAATTCCACCGTACCGCGATCCAAACCCACTGATGGCTGAGTGGATTTTTATCATGGTATGAGGCTTAGCACCGTCGACCCAGCCTAAAATGGGTACCAGGATGTATGTCCTGGGGAAGTAAAGATGGCTAGTGTAATGCTGACTACATTACCCACCTAGTGCCAAGTGGTCTGTAAAAATACGAGTGCTCTTCCCATATGCCCGATGGGCCTAAAGACATGAAACGGGATCTTCACTTTACTTTCGTACTATCTCAACACTTGTACACTGATTTATCTGCTACCTTATACTATCTCAGGTCGGTACAATATCTTTGTCTTTGGAAGGTATAATTCCATTGCTAGGACTTCTCGCAGTGTCAGGTTATTAAAAGATAGATCTAGGTGGCGTAATCTGTTTCCCTTGGCAGCAATAATTTGCAGGCATTTATCAGTGAGAGAACCGCACTGACTTACATCCAGGGTGCTCAGACGTGTACACCGCATCATGAGCTCAGCCACTGCTACGTCAGTGATAGCCATGTTGTAAGAAAGTTTTACTTCTTTTAGGATGGGATTGTGGCGTGCCACTGCCACCACAGCTCTGTCCTTCATTTTTGGTAGTCCATTCAGGGACAGAGAGGAAAGCTCAGGGAATCTCACAGCTTCTGTGACACCAGTATCTGTGATCCTGGGGCAGTAGGAAAGATCAAGCACCTGCAGAGACTTCAAGTTGGAAAGCATGAACATGTCTTCGCCATTCTCCAAACTGTTATGGGCTTTAGATATGCAGTGTTTGTGCTCTCTGATAGCACCGGTGGGCTTACGAAATATTTTACTGTCTCGTTCACGACTGCAAGGGCAACCATCATGGTCAAAGTCAAATGAGGATCGAGGCACAACTCCTTTTTCGGGCAGGTATCCAAGGATGCCAATGTCTGAAATCTCCCTGCAATAACTGAGACGAAGCACCTGCAGTGAGGTCAGGCTCTTGGTGATAGCATGAAGACTGATGTCTGTTAGTTTGAAACATGAGCTTAGGTCAAGTTCCGCCAGTCTGTAATTCGTCTTGCAAAGTTCAACCACAAAGGCATCTGTAATATCAGGACAAAATGGCAGCGCAAGTCTTGTAAGATGAGGGACTTGACAGCATAGACCTTTGATGAGATCAATGTCAAACAAATTCAGGACCTCTCCCATGTCTAAGGTATGTAAGGATCCAAAGTCTGCCAGTGATGTTATATCGCACTGACCCATCCTGGCGCATTTTCTCATTATTAGGGTGTGAAGATGAGGCAAATTATTGGCCAGGGTTTTAAAGAAATCTTTGCTACTTCCAAGTTCCCTGCAGCCACTGATATCCAGAATTTTAAGAAAATGCTGATGTGTTACAAAATTCTTCAATCCCTTATCAGAAATTTCGGCACAACCACGTAAAGACAGTTTCTCCAAAGCAAGATTATTAATCATGGCCAGAGATCCCAACGCTTCATTTGGTACAGACGTGTAACTGATATCAATATGTTTCAAGTTCTGTGCATTCTCCTGCACAAATTTGAGAAAAGCAGAAAAATGTAGCATTGCTGGGCTGCTCTGGTTGACGCTGTACAAATCACTGCCAAAGATCATATGTGTAGATGCTATAGATACGTCTTCCAAGTTTTGAAACACAGATACCAACCGCTCAAACACCATATCTGTCATATACCGCAAGCGATTTAGCTTCAAAACACGAACACCAGATAGAGTTTCTTTAAGCATTTGTAGGTCACTGTCTTTAGACAAGAAACGTCCGGATAGGAATAGACTATTACAGTCTGAGAGGTCCAAGTATTCAAGACTAGGGCAGCGACTTAAAAAAGTCATCAATGTTGATTCTGTAATCTGTTTACTATCCCAATTTCCAAATTCTAAGTGGGTTAATTTACGTCCCAATAATCCAAAGGATGGAAACATTCCATTTTCAGGTGGTCTACATTTAACAATTATATCTCTTTGCAACACTGGGTCCAGAGATGCATTGTACCATCTTTTGCAAACAAGAGCAGCTTCCTTGCGATCTGGGACATTTAAAAATCGCATGATGTAGCTGATTATCTGAAAAGAAAAGTGCACACAATTTATTTAAAGATAAATGTAAATTTTTCACCATGAAACATAAAAAAACCTATTTCTTTTGCAAAACAAAATTTTGTTCATTCATGAAATACTGTCATTGTAATGAAGACCAAAGCAGCTCTTCGGCTTAGAAGGTAGTGTTGTGAAACAGGTAATTGTCCAACTAATGTTGAAGCGTCGAGAGATTCATGATAACCTGAGGCCCACTTGATTAACGTACAATGAAGATCATTGGAACCTCAGTAACATACTTTATTCCTCATGCTATACAACAACAAAATGATGATGAAAGACATGCCATTAATATCTCATCGCTCCCAGTCACAACATATAACACTGGAGCAATATTTACCAATACATTGTCACAAGACCTTGCTCATTCTGGGTAAACAGTCACCCAATAAGAACATCAGAACAGTAGTGTAATATCTCTGAAGGATAAGCCGGCACAAAGTCAAAATAGCATTACCAATCTCCACAACTTAAAGCTGTTAACTTGCGAGATTTATACAGAATGACGCAAGCAGTTTTCACTGATCACATCAACAAAACAAATCGGCACAAAGTAAGAATGCCTATCAATCTCCACAACTTAGAATGCATTTCTTTTTCTTCTTAGCATTCACCAGTAAACTGTGGCAGAAATTTTTGTTCATCCAGTCCACTTGGGCTTTGGTCTTGTTCCAGAACTGGAGTGTTTTGTGCACATCTCTTTTACAGATCTGGCTTACAGACTGTTAGTTTCTTGCCTGTCAGGCAGATGGACTATGACTTTCAATGATTGACCCCTAATTATTGGCCTCCTATAACATGCTTGTTGGGGGGAGATGGGCAGTGGGTCTATTCTTTTTCTACAAAATGGGACGCCAGAACCTATTTGGGAAGAACGCACTTCACAATCCTGAAACACTTTAGGGTCGGCGTTCGATGATGGGCTGTTACCAAAAAGACCAGGCTCATGGTTTCTAACATGAGTATAGCAATAACACAGTGGAAGAGACTAGGGACCTCACCACATAATATTCCTGGAAACAGAAGTGGGTGCCAGGGGGCCTCTAAACCTTGGGGTCTCAGTGCCCCCATCCTAAAAAAACAATTTTTACAGTTGGTCCTGCCAAACTATGTAAACCATGTATTGATATCCTCTTTTTTAAGTATTTATTTATACATTTCATGTTACATTTAATAGGCAAATAATTAATAGTATGAGCCCCTCAAGCCACCTGCTCCCAATCCCTTTTTTCCACTCTTGTATGTTCTTTGTGTCAGCGCCCTCTGTGGGTGCAAATATTTACTGCAACAAACCTCCATCATAGAAGCAGCACATTAAAAAAAAAAGATTCTTAAACAATACTTTAATTTCTTCTTCTTCTTCTCGATCACTGGCTGTAAACTCTGACAGAACATTTTGGTTGTTCGCCTGTGGATTTTAGTCTAGTTTCAGAACCTGAGTGTTGCGTGAACCTCCATTTTACAATTCTCACTGTTTTTTTAAATATGCAGACTGTTGATTTCTTGCCTCTCAGGTAGATGCACTCTGACTTCAAAAGTACCCCCCAAGTAAGTCGACTCTTATGACATGCTTACTGGGGAAGCAGTGGGATTCTTGTTTTCCCCCACAATGGGGCCCGGGAACCCATATGGGGTTGAGTTGAGTTGAGTCAAGAATTTACATCATAGCACTTGGGGCATTCCCATGCATGCTCTGTCCTCATCTTCAGCAGCCAGCCCAGAGTTCCAATACTGATGGTACTGGTCACAATCAGGTTATATGTCCATCTTGCCTTTCCTCTGAGTGTAGTGAGCCGACAAGACCCTCTGGTTACACCTAGGCCATATGGGAATTACATCAGTATAAAAATGATGACTTCACTACTCCATATAAAAACTGCCTCAATTGTATTTCTGTGTATGTACTTTATGATATCATTTTTTAAACTTCTTTATCCCATCAAGGTTAATCCTCTACGTGAATATTTTTTTTGGCCCTTTGCCTAGCTAAGCATTATGTACTACTTGTCAACTGTTGCCCAGATAAGCATTATGTACCTCTTGTCAACTGTGTCAAGTACTAATGAAAGCCCTGGCCTGTCATGCTCTAATTCTTGCATTTCTGACGATGATCTTGCATGTATTAACACCATCTGACATCATCTATTATGATTCCTTTCTGGATAATATTTTCCTGGTTAAGTTAATAAAATGTGATTATGTTAGTATAAATATAGTACTTTAACTAAGTAAATACTATACATAGTGCTCACTAAACATTATATTGGGAGTTCACTGAACCTTATACTGGTGGTTCAGTAAACGTTGTAGAGGGTGTTTAGTTAACATACAGGATATTTAGTAAACATTATTATACTGTGTGGTCAGTAAAACACTGTACAGGGTGTTCAGTAAACATTGCACAGGATGTTTAGTAAGCATTGTATGGGGTTTTCAGTAAACATTGCAAGGATGTTTAGTAAGCACTGTACGAGGTGTTCAGTAAACATTGCACAGGATGTTTAGTAAGCACTGTACAGGGTGTTCAGTAAACACTGCACAGGGTGTTTAGTGAGCACTGTACAGGGTGTTCAGTAAACATTGCACAGGATGTTTAGTAAGCACTGTACAGGGTGTTCAGTAAACATTGAACAGGGTGTTTAGTAAGCACTGTACAGGGTGCTCAGTAAACATTGCACAGGGTGTTTAGTAAACAATGCACAGGGTGTTTAGTAAACATTGCACAGGTTGTTTAGTAAACATTGCACAGGGTGTTTAGTAAATATTCACCAACCCTTGTCGTATAGCACTTTGAGAGTTATGGGAGTTTTACAACAGGTTTTATACAGGAAGTTTAGTAAACATTGTAAATGGACAGTAAAAACACATGGTGCTTTGTGAACATTGTAGTTTTCAGTAAACATTGTTCAGGGTATTCAATAAAACATTATACAGGGTGTTAAGTAAACATTGTATAGAGTGTTAAGTAAACATTGTACAGGGTGTTAAGTAAACACTGTACAGGGTGTTAAGTAACCATTATATATGGTGTTCAGTAAATTTTCATGACTCCTTGTCCTATAGCACTAGGGTAACCACAAGTCACATTTGTACCAGGACTGTATCATTTTTTCAATGCAGACTCACACCATCTCACTGATACTCATCATCAGATGGGACAATTGACTTTTATTTTAGTTTTGACCCAACGGTCTAGTCCTGCCTGAAATGATACTGTCCCGGTGATAAGTTTATCCTATAGAGCACCTAAAGAGTATTACATACAATCAGTAATGTCCGTTTTCCAATAGGTATTCTACAGGATGTTAAGTAAACATTGAAAATGTTCAGTAAATATTCAGTGTTCAGTAAACACTGTACAGGATATTTAATTAACATTATAGTGTCTCAGTAAACATTATTTAGGGTGTTTAATAAACACTATGTTGTTCAGTGAAGATTATACGCACTGTTCAACAAACTGTAAAGTTTTCAGTAAATATTACACAGGGTGCTCAGGAACACTATACATTATATAGGAAGTCCAGTAAACATTATGGAGTTCGGTAAACATTATTCAGGGTGTACAGTAAACACTGTACCGAGTCTTCAGTAAACACTTCAAAGTCTTCAGTAAACACTGTACCGAGTCTTCAGTAAACACTTCAAAGTCTTCAGTAAACACTGTACCGAGTCTTCAGTAAACACTTCAAAGTCTTCAGTAAACACTGTACCGAGTCTTCAGTAAACACTTCAAAGTCTTCAGTAAACACTGTACAATGTTCTTATAAAAATCGTACTGGAAAGAAAATTTGAAGGCAAGTGATCAATAGGTATATAGCAATTCAGCTGGGTGAACAGTGTCTTAAAGAGATGGATAAGCTAAGGCTAAAGATACAGCGTGTTGGAGGTCAGTTGTGGCCAACTCCTACTGTAAGTACAGTACCTGCTTGACTGATTGGAAAGCCCTACTAAAGGGAGAAAGCTGCAGAGTTGAAGATAAATGAACAAGAGATAGATCACCACACAAGTTGCAGGACAATGTCAAGAGATGGGAAAATATATCTGAGACAGTAAACGAGTGTGATTTTTTATATAAAAGAAGTTCAGTCTTACGCTAACATTAGAAAGAATATACATTTAGAGAACCTGATAATGATATAACTAGAATGTCTTTGCACTGGAACCCACAGGTTCAAGAGAATAAAGGCAGACTAAAAACACACGAGGAAGGGAACTAAAGAGTGCAATTAAAAGGACACAGGATTGGTATAGTGTGAGTTGCATGTGATTTCAAAAGACGTAATGACTAGGTTGTGGGTATGAGGTCCACTAGGGAATCAAATAACCATTTCTCCTGCAGGTATTAGGAGATCTGTTGAGAATGAAAACTGAAACCTGTGGAAGAAACATGACCATCTTGAGAAGGAATAATCACAGGCAGCTGTGTGTGCTGTGCTGAACCATGACCCAGATACAACAATCATTTTTTTAGGATGTCTATTCCTGGCTGGTCTTCTTACACATCCTCATTGTAACAGATGCTAAAACTTGTCACTGCTTTGCCAGCCTGAAGCCAACACATCGAATTTCAGATTAAAAGTTAATCTGAAAATATTGAAAACTCATATTCTTTCAGAATCTAGAAGTGTTTTCATACCTTTTTATTGTGCCATGCCCCACCTAAGCTTTTCTAAAATCCTTATTACCCCCCCCCCCCCCCCTCTTCCCCCACATGCGACTCGAACTCTGGACGAGTTCATTTTCGAACCCCCCCCCCCCCCCCCCCATTTTAATTCCACCCCATCCCTTTCATAAGGAAACACTGATCTCGAAGAACCACAATCAACCATAAGACACGTTATAAAGAGAAAGTATTACCAACTATTTATTTGTCAATCAGGCTGGACGCCCAAAAGAAACCCTAAGACGAACATTGATGGGAGAGGCCAAAGCTACTGGACTGGATTCCGTCCATGATGTAGAAC